GTGCTGGTGGTGGTAGGTGGACGCGTCGTAGGCCCACAGGCCGGCGAGGGTGAGGCCGAGCGAGCCGACTACGATGAAGGGGGACGCGAGGAGGACGGTCCAGTACGGGTGGGTGCGGTAGAAGCGCTGTTTGGGTGGTGCGAGGGGGTCGAGTGCGGCTTTGGCCTTTGCGCGGCTGAAGAGGGAGCGGTGAGGGGGAGGTTGTGCGACGAGGCGATGAGGAAGGGCGAGAGGTCGGCGAGCGAGGGGGGACGCGCTCGAGCGCAGTGCGGTGCGGGAGAGCATGGCCGGGGACGAGTGGCGGCCAGACCGAGGCAGTCTTGAGCACTGTGAGAGAGAGAGAGAGAGAGAGTGAGGAGGACGTTCCCTCTCGCCCGAGGTGACGATCGCCTCGAGCTGGTCGCAGCCCTCGCGCTCTCGCTCTCGTCGACACAGACTCACATGGACACCAAGCGCATCCGCGTCGCTCTCCTAGGTGCAGGCGGCTTTGCAACAGACGCAGTGCGCTTCCCCCCCTTCCCTCTCCCCCTCCCCCCTCCTCCTCGTCGTCCCTCTTCCGTCATCATTCCGAAGTGGGGCTCACTCACCCTCTCGGCGCCGCACACAGCACCTGCCCGCCATCGCACACAACACCGACACCCTCGACCTCGTCGCCCTCTACTCGCGCTCGCTCAAGTCGGCCCAACAGCTCCAACAAGCCGCAGCTCGCTTCAGCTCGCTCGCCCCAACGTCGAGCCACCTCGACCTGTACTCGGACGACCACCCCAACAAACACAACCTCGCCACCCTCCTCGCCCGACCCGACCTCGACGCCGTCGCCGTCTGCCTCCCCATCCCGCATCAGCCCGCCGTCCTCCTCGAGTGCCTCCGAGCCGGCAAGCATGTCCTGTCGGAAAAGCCCATCGCCCCGACCGTCCACCGCGCCCTCGAGCTCGTCGCCGAGTACGAGCGCGACCACGCGCCCCGCGGCGTCCACTGGCTCGTCGCCGAGCAGTTCCCGCACGCCGCCGCGTGGGAAAAGGCCCGCCAGCTCGTGCGCGACGCCAAGCTCGGCCGCCTCGTCGGCTTTGACGCCGACGTCTTCATCCAGCCGTCCCTGAAGGCCGGCGCCACCAACTGGCGCCGCGTCCCCGACTACCAGGGCGGGTGCGTCCCCCCTTCTCCCCTCTCTCCCCCTCCTCGAGCCCGGTGGGGAGCGCTCTCGCTCTCCCGAGAGAAAAGGGTGCTCGACGGCGGCGTCCACTTCTTTGCCGCCCTGCGTCACGTCCTGTCCGGCACGCCGACACCGACCGACCTCGTCGCCGCCTCGGCCCACGTCAGCCCAGCTCGACCCGCACCTCCCGCCGACCGACACCCTGCGCGCCGTCCTCCACACCTCGGGACCCCAAGCTCGGCAGCACCCTCGTCCTGTCGTACGGCACCCCGCAGCCGAGCGACGCCGAGCAGTACACGTTCCGCGACAGCGACGCCGTGCTCATCGTCGACCTCGGCTCGAACCCGCGGACCGTCAGTCCTGACGCTTGTGTCGGCCTCGACGGACCTTCACTGCCCCGGCGAGGACCCGCTCCCGCCGCGTAAGGG